TTCCTAGCAAAGCAAAGGTGGTACCACTTCCCAAAGATAAACGTCTGAGAAGGTAATCATATGCAGTGTATGTGATAGTCTGGATTCAACACAGCTTTAGCATGTACTTAAATGCTTTGTTGACTCAGAAGAGATTGAAAGACATACTAGATGCTTTGAAATTGGGCCCGATTCTTGCTGAAAGAGCAATTAATCATGAAAAAGCTTCAGGGCTATTAAATCTTGCCAGCCACAGAACAAAATTCCTTAAAATGCACTTTTCCATAAACAGTGGTCACTTAATCCTTTTACCTCTCAATTGTTTTTAAATGGCGTTTTATTTTGACTCTTTTAACTATTGTTAACTTTCGTGTATTAAAGAACCAACCCATTTCTTGTTTTGTAGTTAACTTGCTCCCCCTGCCTTGCTCTTAAAGTAATGCCATTTTAGTTTTAGCAGTACCTTGTAGCCTTGCAAAAACTAGACTGTAACATTTAATAATATCTGGTAATAGCCAAAGAAACAAGTTGTTTATTATTATTATTATTATTAATCATTATTATTAAAGTACACATGTATTCATGGTTAACTCTGGTGTGAACAGAAGTATAGGAAATTATTTAACAATATCCGATAATGAAATGCAGTATATTATAAGGAATGTATAAATGCAACAGCCAGGCTATGAGACTGGGCATCTCATCATTCTAGCAAAACTAGCAAAAATATTCTGTATTCTAGATCAAGAAATTTTAAAAAACTAGAGGATAAAAACTGGATTTCAGATCAGAAAGCTTAGTGTAAGATAAGCTATTTCATGCTCCACTTAAATAAATCTTGTATATGAAGAATACAAAGTATTAAAGTGAAATCTTCTAACACTAGAATATTCTTCCTTTATTGCAGCATATGTCAAGAATTCATTTTTTCATTCCCATTAAGAGTTGGATAATGATCCGGCTTACATGATCCAGTGGGCTATATAAGACCTTTTAGTCTGCAATAGCTTCTTAGGCTTGAGATGGGATGAAAATGTTAGTAGGCTAAAATGATTTACGTTATTTATCTACACCTACCTAATAGATTTCCATGGATATTGAAAAAATGTTGAGTGACGGACCACGATAGCAGCAAGGTATTAGCTGCTGGGGATAAAATGAATACCTGGCAGACCAGGAGAAGAGTCAGCTGCTAGGCTTCACTAATGACAGTGGAGACTCACTGGGACAAATAGGTGAGGACCAAACCCCAGCTTCTGCAGGTTACTGAGGACTGGAGAGATGATAATTTCTACCTAATGTGAAAAGATACCCAAGCCTGTAACCTTTAAAACCAGACAGAAACCAAATAACAGAGAGACAATATAATATTTAAATACCCCAAAAGTTAAGGTGGGGGAGAGGAAGAATTATGTTAACCTGGACCAAAAAGGAAACTCTTCTGGGATTTAAAAGGAATTTTATATATATATTTTTTCCTAACTCCTTCTTACCAGTGAAAAAAAAATCAGAGACATGATAAAATAATAATAATTCTAGTACAACTGACAAAGTAGGTTTGAGAGACTGGATGCAGCTGACATCTGAGCAATTAAAATAGACCTTTCATCTGTCATACTTATTTTTTTCTTTCTGAGTCCAAAATACATTCATCGATTTTCAGGGGAAATGGTGGTCAAAAAGAGTTTCTATTATGAACCCAAAGGGAGCAATGAATGAAATTTACATTTTATTTTATTTTATTTTATTTTATTTATTTATTTTTAATGTGTGTGGAGAGGAAAATGGGAAAAATTAGGCATTAAAAATCAGGAATTAGACAATTAAGTGACACTACAAAATCTGTTAATTATACTATAAAATTAAATTAAAAATTGCAAGACCATTCCAGGGAAATTCTGAGCTGCAATTAGGATTTAATTTTTTACATTGTTGAAAAGAGTTGAGTGTGATTTTAAATCAAGCAAATCATGAGGGAAAAGTACTGTCACCAGTGCTTAGAGAATGCACACGAAGTTATGAGTAACCTTTGTTGGTTTCAGTGAAGGTACTCACAGATGAACTGATCACAGTCCTGACCCTATCTAAGGAAACACATGGGGCTTGGTGGCTTTGATGCTCTATGCCTGCTGGGGAACCCAAACATACCAAAAAGCTTCCTGCATGGACTGAGCCTGTTTCACACACTCCCTTCCCTCCTTGGCACTTTCCTGTACTTGTTTTCCTCCTGGTGCCAAAGCAGATCTATCAGGCTGCCATGCATCTATGAGCCACTGCTGACACCTGGACCACTCACCTGGCCATATGTTAGTGATAACTGCAGAGAAAGACACACAGCATAGTGTGGGAGCTCTTTCCACTTTCTCCAGAGAACCAAAACTCCCCACCAGTGGGATGTGGCAGGTGCTCAGCACTTACATGTCAGACTCTGAGAAGCTCGGGAGCCTCCTGGTCTTCAGAGATTGGCACAGTGCACATGGGATGGTCTAAGAAATCATGTGAAAGAAACCTGTGCCCTTCCTCAAAGGAGGAATGCTAGACAGGTGTTTTGTAAGGTGGGGTCACCCTCAGACTTGTCCTACCGGCACAGCTGGGGAAGTGAGAGGAGCAGGGTTCGGATGGGGATATCAAAAGACAGTAACTGGAGAAGGCTAGCATGATGAAAAATCTTCAACACCTCTTCAGCAGTCTTTCTCCCTTCAGAACTTGCATATACCTGTGAATCTATTACACTTCTCTTTAAAGACAAGTGCTTTGGTCTCCATCTTCAGACGAGCATCAGAGAGGAAATTTTTCCAGTTAGATAAAAGTACATCTGAAAATATGCACTTTGAAAATCTGGTAACAGATATTCATTAAGGTTGGTTTCCTATGGCAGCCACCAATTTCCAGACTCAGAAGCTGTCATAGACTTCAATTGTCTACAGTAATTTTCTCTGCTTTCTCCATATAATCATATGGAGATAAAAATAGTTCATTATGTATTAGGCAGGGATTTCTTTACCAGTGACTTTAAGACCAAGAACATATGTGGTGTAAAAGCAGTGGAAGATGACCAGCTGTGCTCTCAGTCTGTTCAGTCTGTTAATACGAATAAACCTTCAGCGTTAGGCATTCTAGGGTACAGGTTGCGATGTAATAAGATATGTGGAAGAAAATGAAATATGAAATTGGATAATGTATTTAATTTACTGTACTAATAGGCAGCAGTCTAGCTATGTTGTTGCCAAACAAGCGTATTTAGTATTTCACTATGGTGAGTTATTCTGGGGGTAAATTAATTTTCAGAGAACTGTGCTATTTGATGAGGGGAAGCATAAAATAAAGTCAATAATCTACTGCTTTTTACCATTTTTAAGGCAAACTAGATATTTAGAAATGTGTTAGAACAGACAAACCCATTTTATTTTTCCATAAAAGCCATACCAGTTTTTCTTCTTTTCTTTATCTTAAATACATTACTGTTATCACCATTCTTGCCAACAAACAGACTCATTGGAATATTTTTCAAAAATGAACACAAATATTGGAGGCAAGCAGGTGGAATGAATTAATTAGGAGCATATGGTTCTAACATAATGATATCTGCAGTTTAGTGTCGGGACATCTAAGGGTCTAGCTATACAACACACTTTGGCAACAAAGATGCTTTAAGAAATTATCATGTACATGGGTATAAAAGTTTGTTAATTGTTAATCCAAATTTAGTAAAGTGATGCAGTCTAAACACCCTGCCACATACACACATTTCTAGGACATTTTTTAATTCCAGCCCATGGCAGTGATGTGGTTTACACTATTCTCCCAGTTGTGTTAGCACAACTGAACACGGTGTCAAACAAACACAGAAAGCAGACACTGGGAGCATCTGTGGGGAAATGGCACTTCTTAGGTCAGCTGCACAGTTAACTGCTGTATATTATGCCCTATGCTTACCTATATTGACTGCAATTCAAGGCTACAAGTCCCTCTGAGGTAGAGGCAATTTAAGATGTTACTGGCTGGCATTGACCCTTGGCCAGTTGCCAGTCTCCCCTGCTGAAGCAAGTTGTTATTCCCTTATTCAGTGGAAGTGATCTGTGAGGTAGATCACTGAAATAGGTCTGAACCAGAGAAAGACAGCTAGAGAATAGTTGAAAAAAAAAAAAAAAGGATGACACCACATATCCACATAAATTTATATAGCCACATGTAATAGAAGCAGCTGAAGGCTGGAGGCAAGAAACAGGGAGAGTGGGCTTTCCATGGGGACAGTGCCCATACAGCGCATATCTGTGATGCCAATACCAAAAACAGTTCAGCAACACAGAAATTGTTGTAACATTGACTGAACCTGTTGCAACATCAGCTGTCCTACTTTAGGTTAAAAGAATATCAGTTTTATAGCTATCACATTTTCACTTATGAATCCTTTCTGGTTTTTAATAGTTAATTTTAAACCTGGTAAAACAATTAATGTTCTGAATATGTAGATTGTTATTCATTAGAATCAGTATCATTAAATTTAGCAGATTTACTTTGTGAATTTTTTAAAGATGATTGTGAAGCAGAATAGAAACTAAATCAATAAAAGGTGGTACTTTTTACAATCCATTTTGAATTTGATATGAATTTGTGCTATTACTTTGTTTAAAAATATTTGTCTGTCTTTTCAGTGCATATTTAAGCTCATTTTCTTAGAATTCCAGTTTTGTAAAACCTGTTGTGGGACCAGCACTCTGAAGAACCCGAATTCTCAGAGTGACCCAAAATGCCCCCTTACAACTGCTATGAGAGGACAAGAAGCAACGATAATTTTAGAGATTATCAAAATTCTGCAAAATTCAATTGTTCTTAGCAAATAATTGACATGCAGATCACAAACAAAGGCAAAAACAAAGCAAAACAACCAAAAAAAAATCACCACCATTGAACACCCTTCAGAGTGGCTTTTGTATAATCCAGCAGATGGTGCTATGATGCAATAAACTGGTTCAAGAATACAAGAAATACCCTGAAAGAAATACATTTTACTCCTTTACCTGGTATTACTGCTTTTTTGGTGGATGGATTAGCTGCAGGGTATTTTGCTGGCTCTGAAAAACAAACAAACAAAACAAAACAAATCAATTACTATAGTGTTATACCTTAAAAAACAGAAATATAAGGGAAGTCTTCCATTGAGGTAAATCAGCCTGTAGCAATTTTTTCACTGAAGAACCAGACAAAGAGATTATCCAAAGAGAAGGGAGCTGAGCTGCTTTCATTTAATTCAAACACATCAACAAAATGGCTAACCACAAGACTAGTATACATTTGCCATAAGAAACTGAATCCCTTATTTTTGCTTGTTCCACTTAGTTTTTCCATACCCACTGTCAAAGCAGAGTGAAGCAGGTATTGAGGGGTTTGGACATGGCCTCCCCACATAGGCAGCAGCTATGGACTGGGAGCCTTCACCTTTGATCTTGCAGCTGTGAGAGTAAAAAGTCTTGAACCAGCCTATGGCAGCTGGTATCTATCATTTCTGCAGTGGCTTCTCTTGGGTTGTCACAGCTACTCAAAGTGGCATCCTTTCCCCCCAGTCTAAATCTCTCCATGATGAAAAAGTGAGAATTGGGCTACTTTTGGAAAGTACATCCGCACAGACATGGCTACACCAGGAATCTCTCTCCATTATGAGGAATGGGGGAACATGTGGGGAACAAATCCATGTTTGCTTCTGCACTTGGAAGAATAACTGCTTGGTTCTCCTTGCAGAGAAACAGGGCCTCTCTGGCTTCTTAGATGTAGCTTTTCTTTTATTTTTTTTTTTATGAAACGTCTGCACCATTCTCTCTTCATTGAGGTACAACATTTCCTTGTGGAATGAGGTTCCAAATGAAGTGCATATGCATCACCTGATCAGACTTGGAGAAGAAGAAGCCCTGGGTAGAAGAACCTAACTAGCCTTCAGGATTTATTTACTCTTTACTAGTGTTTAGTTAATCCTTTTTATCTGTGGGAGCTGTTAATACAGGCTGTACTTAAACCAGGATAATCTAACAAATTTCCATAAGTTAAATACCAGTGACTTTCATAATGGATTTTTGTATCAGCTAGAAGGTCCTCTAACTTATAACTCATATTTCCATACTGTGAGAGGAAATAATTAATCATTTTAATCACAACCTGAATTACAGAGTGCCAAAAAAATGTTAGTTAATCCTTCACATCTGTCACCTGTGTTATTACAAAGAAAAAGAATATGGCTATATCAGGAATGTAATTTCAAGTTCTTACCCTCCAGTCTTTTGAAAAGTTCATGAAAGATGCATCAGATTGTCTTGTGAAACATAATGAAAACAAAATATAGTTTTGCATGTGTAGGATTGTTTTGATTCCATCCATTTAAAAGTCTGTAGCAAATAATTATACCCTAACTTAGTTATTATCACAGCATTGTAATTGCTTGGGGTGCTCATCAGTCCTTCAAGAAGTATGTAGAAGACGTTGGAGAAGTATCCTTAGCATTGCTTTCCTGAGTGCCTGTTCCCGTAAAAGCAGTAGGATATCCAACACACATAGTTTACAAATGATGAGAATGACGAGATAGACTTCATACAGAACTGCAGGAATCCTGCATGAATTCGCTTCTGAGCTCTCAGACAGAGCTTGCTGGCCAACAAGACTATATTTTCATTTTCATAACATTTGTGAAACAAATTAGATGAGGATTCTTTTTTTTTTTTTTTTTTTTTTTTTTTTTATGTTAGCATCCTTTTTAACTATTTTCATTTGAATGCTTCATTTTTGAGCAAATAAAATAATTCTGATTTAAAAAATATTTATTTTTATGAAAATGTTCTGTATACAATTTATGTAACTTTTCAATAACTCTGAAACAAATGTACTGAAGATATTAAACTTTTTAATTTTTTATTTTTTTTTTTAAGTGTATGCTATTTAGTTAATTCTAGAATCATAGAAACATAGAATCACAGAATGGTTTGGGCTCAAGGGGACCTTAAAGATAATCTAATTCAAGCCCCCTGCCAAGTGCAGGGACACGTCCCACTAGACCAGGTCACCCTTTAGCCCCATCCAGCCTGGCCTTAAACATTTCCAGGGATAGTGAATCCACATTTCCTCTGGACAACCTGTGCCAGTGCCTCACTACCCTCATGGACACAATCTAAATCTCTCCCTTTTTTAGTTTAAAGCCTTGTCCTATTGCTACACTGCCTAACAAAGAGTCCCTACCCAGTTTTCCTGTACATCCCGTTTAGGTGCTGGAAGGCCACTACAAGGTTTCCCTGGAGCCTTTACTTCTCTAAGCTAAACAACCCCAAATCCTTCAACCTGTCTTCCTAGGAGGTATGCTCCAGCCCTTTGATCATCTTTGTGGCTCTCCTCTGGACTCATTACAATATGTCCATAGTTCATTATTCACAAACTATTTCAGTGCTAATGACTACATCTTTATGTGAATAAGTTTCAGTTGAAAATGTGGATGGCAGGGGATTCTTCTGCCATGCAGTCTGGGAAAGATCATATATGGTCCCTGGAGTCAGTGTATTCTTTAGTCATAAATTTGAATGAGATTGCAAAGCCCCATAGTTGTCTGAACATTTTTGCATATTGTACTTTAACAAGAGATCTGAGCAAATGAAATCTTTCCAGTGTAACTATGCCATACTATTATTACTATATTGATGCATTGATGCTTACAATTACGGATTACAGTTGATGCTTACAATCGCAGAAGAAAAAGGTGTAACAATACTCTTAATACTCTTGTCAATAGCAAAGTGTTCTCAAAACTTTCCCTGTGGAGGTTATTTATTCGTTATTTATTCAGAACAGCCCAGCTCCTACCTCTCTTCTGCCTCAGAAGTCTTCCTGTCTGCATATGTGGTAACTAGATAGGCAAGGCCATGCTTTTGCAATTTACAAAAATAAATCTGATGGTCCTCCGGCACATTGGACTTTGAGTTCATTTACCCAACTTGGTGCCACTGAGAGCACATTCAGCTGAGACCTCATTTGACATTTTCTTCCCTATGAAACCTTTGTTTTTGAAGACAGTGATAGAAAACAAGGAAGGCAAAACTGTCAGTCACAAAGAGGAGTGTAGAATTAGAAGTAGCATAAGAATGGATTTAGAGTGTAGGAGGCAGATGAAGTCTAAACATGTCATTTTTCAATTATAAATGGTGTAGCTACTTTATTCTTTGTGTTTTCAGCATTTCAGTAACTATTATTGTGGATTACTGAAACATGCTGTTTGAAACTATATGACATGTAAAAGAGATCATAACCTATTGCACAGTAACATCTTACTTTTGAGTTCTTTGGACACAGCAGCTTCTTTTTTATCTGTAAGGTAAAAAGAAAAAAAACGCATAAAAACACAGGTAGAAAGTATATAGGTAGACAGAGAACTGCAGTACGTACTTTATTGTTGCAAAGTGCATTTGAATGATGTGGTGAATCATTTATTTTCTGTTTCATGATGAAATTGCACCAATTTGCATGTAAGTGTAAATGCAACAAAACATATATGAATGTGGACATTTATGTTTAATTTCAATATAGTTATCTGTCAGATTCAACATATGGTTGAGTTACCATGGCTTACATGTACTAGCTTAACCATGGTTGCTCACCATGTGTACATTCTCAGGTTGCAGAAATGTAAGGCAAGATGCCCTAGAAACCTAAGGATAAAGTCAAGCAATGAAAAACACTATTCAGTCTGGTCTCTCTTCAATTGTTGACAACCATACAATTGACACCTAGTTTGGACAGCTCCACACAACACCTACCCAAAACTCTAGCTGCCATATATTTCCTAAATGCCATAACAGATGGCATCTTTAAATTTAAAGAGAAGAGAGAGAAAGAATCTGAGATATCTCTCCAGTCCAGCCTAGAGGAAAGATCCCTGCTACTTCAAAATTTTCCCAGTTAAAATTCAAGCTAATACATTTCTTTTATATTACATTACATGTAAAAAAGAGAACATGTATGACTGTTAACAAAACTGGGCAAACATGAAATAACTTATGAACCTGAAGTAACTCAGTCCTATGTATGGAACATATAAGAATAGGCAAAATCTTAAAAATCCCTGTTTTTAAAAAAGTTAAAATAAGTCAGCTATAGCAAAATGCAACGTGGCTAAACAGCTATTAAATGAGCTATTTGGTCCCATCTTCAGTGAAAGTGGCACTGCTGTTCTTTTGTAGAACTTTTTTTCTGATGGCTGAGAGGACATTTGGAATCTTCACCAAGTAGGTGCAAGTAGGCAGAAATATTCAATGATAACTCTCCACTATAGTGGTTGGTGCTATCCTACCTCAGGAATTTTATCTGGGTACAAAAGTATGCTACTTTTATAATCATATTAAAGACCTTACATATTCTTTCACCAGTCTTATTTGTACAGCTAAAACACTGCTCATGGAGGTCCTATAGGACAGGAAGCAGAGATGAATAATGGTAGAAGTTACCACCTTAGGAACCCATGAAAAAATGAACATCCTCTCTAATAATTTACAGGGTGCCTAGAATATAGGCAGGATAATTTGTATGTCCACAATTTATGAATGATAAATTAACTGTGCCTTTAAACACTAATAGAAGAAATACTTCAGGGCAGAAGCTGCCAAAATAAGTAGCTTTCAAAACCAAGACTATCCCATTATCAATAATAATACAAAGTTGCATCAGTTTCACAGCTTTCTAAATTGCTGTGGAAATGTTGATATGAGATAAGGTAATGCAAATGACTGCCAAGTAGTCTAATAAAGAGTCTTGAAAAATTCAGGGGAAAACACATTTCTGTTTGGGTGATATGCTGCTCTGAACTGAAATGTTTCTAGGTTAATCCTTGGCTTCCACTAACTCTCTATGAAAGCATGTTTTGCAGGCATTACTTCAAAGTATGATAATTACTACATTTAGATGAAATTAATCATGAAGCAGCTTTCAGTCATGTTATCTGGCTAAGGAGACTATTGAAGCCTTCAAGAAGTGCCTATTAGTAGCCAGATATGGAAATTTTAAAAGGTGTATATTGCAGTGATATGAATCATTTATCACAATAATCTTCTGTTGCTGGAGGTTATAAAAAAATAAATAAATTGACAGTATCATTTATATTAACAAGTGGGATCTAAATAAAGCCCTCTAGCTCACCAAGCTCACTTTTTTTTTTTTTTTTTTTTTTTTTTAATATAAGCCATATATTAGGACAACATTTTAAATACATTTTATAGACATAATTTATGTTAAAAGAATCTGTGTGTTTTTCCATCATCTGAAACCTACAACATATAGTAAATTCTCGGAAATACATGTACACAACATCAACATATAGTAAATTCTCAGTAAATATCTGAACAACCTGTCTAGTAAGAAAATCCTTTTAAAGAGCTGAAAATTTTGAAAAATTATCAATAGATGATCACAATAACATTTGATTATATGAACAAGTGAATATTTTTATTCTTAAGCTATTTTTTTTTTTAAGGCAAAGTGCCTGAAGTTAGATTTCTAAAGCCATACTTATGCAAGTAAAATGAAATGTGGAAGATGTTTAGTAAGACCTTAAACCAAGTAGATTCTTCCAAAGGTATATAACACTTACATCTAGGTATCTCACGCTTGAACAAAATAAATGAATTAATTAAAGAGAACTGAATAATTGGTAGATCTCAAAGGAGACAAAACTGATCGTGACTTCCAAAGTCCCAAAATGCAGTTGCTTACTATAAGTCACAAACAATAGGTAACTAAACAACTCAAAGGAAAATAATACTGAAAAAAATAATTGAATTATGAGTTATATTAGTGCAATTAAAATCTAAGAGCATTTTACCTTATTTGATTTTACTTTGCAAAGGTCTTGGTTTTAACTTTTAAATTATAATAATGTGTAAGTTATTGGGGAAAGAAGCTTGTACTACATTAGGTTTCCATAGTCATTATAACTTTTTCTTAAAATCAGTAGCAACAACAAAATCTTTCTGGCCTTTTTTGCTAGCCAATATGTGGTTCTGTTTTCCATGTTAATTAAGAGGAACTTCCAGAAAAAAAAAGTTAACTTTTGTTAAACACCACTCCTTGGCGTCATATAAACATTATCCTAAATACATCTTTGCCAATCATCCTAGGAAGCATAATTGCCAGAACTTGCAAAAATTGCCAGAACCCTTTTCTTTTTAAAACTTTACTCTGAATGTCTTGCGACTGTAAAGGCAAATGTGTGATATAAGAATGATGTGTACAAGTCTTGGAAGCTGTGCAACATCATTAAGACTAATATAACACATGAACAGCAGTCTGGGCACTCTAGCAGCCTTGACCGGCAGTGCAGTTAAAGGCACCGTAGCTTCCTTGGTATCGGTGACAGAACTGTTTGATATCCATCAGAAGGGATTCTTTTTTTCTTCTCCAAAATAACCCCACTTCTACAACAATGTAAATCAATAAAATACCCAACAGTAAGTCCCAATAGGCTGTTGGGACTTACTATAGCAGATGAGACTTCAAAATCTGACCCTTCTGATATTTTGGTTCCCAAATTCAAAGCATGCAATTTTTCAGGAGCTGCTGAGAACGTGTTTGGTATTCAAGTCTTCTTAAAAGGCTTATATAGATCATCCAGATACTGAGAGATCCAAAACTACTGGGTATCTCTGACAATCCTAACCACAAGCTTTTTTGAAAGCACCTGTAACTGGACTTTAACGTTATAGCTAACAAAATCATTTGTAAGACTATGAAACACCCTTTCCTTTTCGCAGCTATTTTCAGGAATTATTTGAAGACAGTTATATTTTGGTACGTGTTCTCAAAAAGCAAAAACGATTGTACAAGGTCCCCTCTTAGGCGGATTTTTCTTTTACTGGATCTTGAAAAAGATTAAAGAACCGTAAAATATTTAAAATTAATAATAATAATAAATAAATAAATAAATAAATAAATAAATAAATGATCTGACTGTTCTTATCTGTACAGGTTAAAAGGATCAATTTTGAATTCAAACTAGGAATAAGCATCTGGCAGCTAGGATAGATGTATCAGTGAAACAGCAAAGCAGCATTTATTCTTTCACCTCTTTTTAGCACATAGCTCGATCTTTTCCTCAGGCCTCAATCAGCATTCTTTTGAAGTAAACTATCAGTACACAGTAACTACAAATGACATCTAAGCTACAAACGGGGCAAGAAAAAAAAAATCCCTCTGAGCTCATACAGTGTCTTTCATGCCATTGAGTCCCTAGGAGGTTTGTAATAAGCCATTAGAGAAGGATGCCCCAGTGCTCTGCTTCAGAATGTGGTGGTTTGAGTTTAAACAGATTTCCAAAACAAAGTATTTCAGACATTGCTCTGATGTGAATTATAGAGCTAGGTTTCAAAATTATTATTATTATTATTATTTTAGCAATAGATTTGTAATACAATGTCCATTGTACATTTAGGAATAGCAGATCTTCAACAGCTACATACAGCCTATAGTTTCTATATATAAACATTATTTCTGGGAAATAAATGGGTCTCAAATTGCATTCTCTTGAAAGACTCATCTGCTTTTTTTCCTATAAAAATATCTCTCACTCATATAAAAATCCTAGATTAAAGGTGTTATTCAGATAAATGAATATTCCAGGGACAATATTCTGATAGTATTGCTAATGCTGCACTATTTAAAAAAGCATCTAGAACCCCTAATTATTTTTTTCTTGTATATAAACCAACTTTTCTCTTCAGAAACTTACAAATGTGACAGTAATATCACATTTACAAACAGAAACTAATTTCAGCATCTGTTAGCAATCACGGTGTCTGAATTAAATAGTACATGATATCATAATCAAACATTGTGTAATCCAGCAGGTAAGGTTCAGGATGCAAGGACTCCTAGCCTGATCTGGGCTAAGCACCAAAACTTGGGAATTACTATATACCTCTAAAAAACATGTTTCACTGAATGAAAAACTAAAGAGAAATTTAAAATTGGTCACTTGGCACTGACCATCTATCTTCTCTCTTTTAGGTGATGATCACATCCTTCAGTGCGATGTTCACTTATTCAAACCACATTTGTTGGCTAATAGTCTACAAAGACCCACAGAAAATAAGTTCTGCAATGAAAATACCTCACACAATGTGACGAGCTGACTCAAAGAACGTTTCTAATAAAACTCCAAGAAATTTGTCCTTGTTGGTTTCTTACCACTTATTTTGACTGAGGTATTCAACTAGTTTTGTCATAAAAAGTAGGAAAACAAAAAGAACAGAAAAATCACAGAATCACAGAATTGTCTAGGTTGGAAGAGACCTCAAGATCATCGAGTCCAACCTCTGACC